ACACAGAGCTCATAAAGAATTAAGAATTTCAAAACATGTTAGCTATCATGACCATATACAATATTACTCTAATGTTTTTCAAAGAGGTTTAATGGTAAACAAAAAGAGAAGTTATTTTTTTCTCTTACAACAGGAAGACCAAAGCATACTATAGAGACAAATAGTACAGAAATAAAGCTCTGAAGACCTCAGTTTCTTTCTTTATAAAAATTACCTGAGAGTTTAAGGGACATGAATTAAACCAGTATCTTGAATGAAGTTATAAGAATGAATTTCTTTAATTTTGAACACATTGATATAAACACTTTTAAATTCCTTCCTTTTCTTGTAATACCCACTAGACTTTGGGGGGCGGTATTAGGGATCAAACTCACAACCTCGCGCTTCCAGGAAGACTTTATGCCACTGAGCTAAACCCCCAGCCCCCCACTAGACTTAATGCTCCCTTTTTATAGACCCACCTAGAATCTCCCTCCTCAAATAAAGTTCATTAATGGAAATTTTTGAACAAAGTCAAGAAGAAAATATATAAAAATGGAAAAAAGTTACAGGTAAGTAAAAGTTTGATTTTTAACAGTTTTAAAATTCTATCTTTGAACTCATTATCAGTAATGTCTATGGGGGCATGATACTGATTAATGTTTATAGACCTACAGGAAAAGATGCCTAAATGTTGAGAAAAAAGTTACGAGAGAAATAAAATATATAGGTCACATTAATAATAATAAATTGATAGTAAACTGTGGTGTCAACTTGAGTAAGAAATGCCTAGCAGGACAGCACAGCACAGTTACAGATGTGTCTTGGATGATGTACTTCCTCAAGAGGGAGACCCACCAGCCAAAGGCTCATAGAAGGAAAAGGAAAAGCAGGAGAAAGGCTTGCTACTTGCTGCTTGCCTTTGGAACGTCAGTCTGTAGGCTTCCAGCACAGACTCTTCAGCATTCCAGAGCCTCTTTTACCTGCCAACACGGGCCCTTCAGCTTCCTGAGGTGCAGGGACTCTGCAGTGAGCTCCAGGCCTCAACTTTTGACTCGATCCTCCAGCTCTCCAGCACCTACACAGCTTTTCTCCTACTCCGACTCTACAGGCAGCCACGGTAAGCCTCCCTTGTGTATCCTTCATAGATCATATACATATACATATATATATATATATATATATATATATATATATATATATATACATTTTATATACTTTATATAAATATAAAAAAATATTAGAGATATTAAATCTGTTCCTCTAGCAAAGCCTAATTGATACAATAAATAATTTTTATACTTTTATTTTTATATTTCTGGAGTAATTTACTGTAGCTCAGATACTGGGGATTAGGAAATAATTAAAAAGGAAAAGTAAGTGGGGCACGGTGTATCCTGGGAGGCCGAGACTGGAGGATAACCAGTTGACGCCCACCCTGGGCAACTCCGCAAGACTCTGTCTCAAAATAAAGCAAAACCCTGAGTTCAATCTAAAGGAAAGGGAAGGGAAGGGAAGGGAAAGGAAGGACACAGAGAAGGAGACCAGAAAGGAGGGGAAGAGCAGGAAAGTGAGGGGAAGGGACGGGGGGCCAGGAGAGAGGAGAGGAGAAAGGAAGAAAGGAAAAGGGAAATTCAAGACTTCATAAAATTTTCCCATTCTAACACAGTGTACCTGAAAAGCAACAGAAGTCAGGCACAGACAGCCAATAATTCCTACATTAAACATATACAACCTATCAATGTCTCCAAGTGAAATTAGTCCTACTAATGCAGGGAGTTATTCCACAAAAATTACTGTACAGTTTAGCAATTCAGAAAGTAGTCGTATAAAATCGTAATTATGGTATTAAATATTATTACACATTAGCCCTAAGAGAACATGAAATAGCTGCCTAACTGCCATATATTCTTTAAGCTTATGATTTTTATAAATTATTCCTTGAGAAATAATTTCCCCTAAATAATCTTTTATTTATTATTCCATAATAACATCTCTCTTGGGAAAAATTCTTTTTATTTGTTTATTTATTTGTTGTTTTGATACTGGGCATTGAACTCACAACCTCACATTTATCAGGCAAGCATTTGAACTGCTGAGCTAAATTCTCAGCCCAAAAATTTTTGAAATTAACATAAAATTAAAACCTATTTTTATACCAATAGGATCTATCATTCTAGTGAAATGGAGCTCATTTGGACTTGTGTCTTTCCAGAAGGGGCAGTTAGAAAAAACAAAGGGAAAAAGATCTGGTATCATTATCACTTGAATATTGAACCCTATGTTTCTATGTAGGTTTATGTTAAAGAGACTTTTTTCTTTCTTTCTTTCTTTCTTTCTTTCTTTCTTTCTTTCTTTCTTTCTTTCTCTTTCTTTTTTTGTCTTTTTAAGATATGCTTTCTAAGAACTGCTATGCAATTCTGGCTGCCTCTGAGCTAACTCTGTAGCCCAGGCTGGTCTCCAACTTGCAACAATCCTCTGCCTCAGATTTCCAATTGCTGAGATTACAGGAATGCACTACCATACCCAACTCAACCAGGACTGTTCTTAAATGATCTTCCCTGTAGTATGCAAGGAAACTTGCTTTCCTCTCAATAACCATCGGTGATTATCAGAACGGAGGACTCAGGAGAATATGGGTCATGGGAAGCGTAACAAACTAAGTTCAGATGCAACTATCATCACCAGCCCTTTGATCTTTCTGTAGCTTTGTATTCATTCAGATGAAGAGAGACTAAAGGAAAAGCACACTCAATGCAAGTAAGGAACAGCTACGATTCATTCAACACGCCAGGCAAGACAATATTTTCTTTCACTTGACCTTCCTAAGGTACAAGAGACAACTCTGTAACCTGGGTAGGATCAATTCCTTGCAGGAAGGACCCACAGCAAGAAACTCCTGAAGCCATGATTACAGAACCCCAGAAATTTAAATCTGAAGCCCAAATTGTTCCCATGTCACTATTTCCCTCTAGCAGAATCATTGTTTACTGTCCAAAGACAATTCCCTTGTCTTTTGATTTTAAAAACATTTCACTACAAGAATATTCAAAACAACACAATAAGAGAAAAGCATAACAACTCTTGTGTCCTGCATTCAGCTTCCCAAATGTGCCACCCTGTTTTGCTTGCCTTTTCGTGGTCCAGAAATATTTAAAAATATACCCTCGACATTTTAACTGAACTTCAGAATGTCTCTAACAAGTTACAATAAAAACATAACATTATCACATCTACAATTATCATTCTTTATTATCACTGGATGTCTAATTTCTCTTTAAAATTGCTGAGTGAGACAGAGAGTGTGTATGTGTGTGGGAGAGAGGCGGGGAGGTGCTAGCGACCAAATCTGGGGATGTCCACATGCTGGGTGAGCACTCTATCACTGACCTACACCTTCAGCACCACTGATATCTTAAAAATGTCTTCCTTCTAAAAATTAACTTGAATCAAGTATCAAACAAGAGCCAGGTATGGTGGTACATGCCAGTAATTCCAGCATTTGGGAGGCTGAGGCAGGAGGACTGTCTTGAGTTCAAGGCCAGCTTGGACTGCATTGAGACTTTGTCTTAAAAGAATCCAACAAGACCAACACATTATTCTAGCTGATACGCCTCAATGTTCAATAGCTCCTCCATCTCTCTTTTTTTAAATGATATCTGAATGTTAAAGAAATGAAGCCACTTTTTCTATAGAGTCAGTAAAACATATTTCTTTGTCTCCTTTACAACTCGTAAAGTACTATAGGCGACTAGGCTGGGACTCACCTTTTCTCAATGTTGTTTCAAGAATGTTCAGTGATAGTGCCCCCCCTCTACTGCACTGTCAGCAGGCATTTACCATTTAGTGGTCTTCTACTAGTAAGAGCAGAAATTGTTTCTACATTCTCTGTAATCTGAATTTCTACGAGTTATCAGATACCTTTTATATTGATGGAACTATGTAGGTTGTGATCTAGCTAACATGTTAATCAAGAACTGATGAGAGACAACTGGATATCACTCATCAACCAGAGAAACACAGCAGAAATTTTTCCTCTGGTGTGTAAGAGAGGTCAAAGATCTGGCTCTACATGGGGAGACCTGAGAATGAATGCAGTGTATTAAAAAACAGAATCCTACATACCTATATAGTTCTAAAAGACATTTTACATACCAGCACTAATCAATGTTTCTAAACGAAGAAAATTCTAGAGTTCTTAATTTTTAACATTACTTCACCAAAACTGTCTTGTAAATCTTTCAGATTTTACTTCTTAAGTACCTTAAGAATGGTACTGATCTCTAAACCAAAGGTTCCAAACTCTGGTTGCAAAGTAAATTTTCCTGAAAAACTTTTATCATACTGAGATCTTGGTTTCACTCAATCAATTCTAATTCAGCTGGTCTATGACGGGAACCACATATACAATGTTTTTTTTTTTTGTTTGTTTTGTTTTGTTTTTGTTTTTTTTAAGTCTCAGAAGACCTGTAGTATACAGCTATAATTGAGAACGACTTTTTAAACAAGAGTACAATGATAACTACTATTTACTAAATATATGTGTCTGGTGTAACTCCTAGTACTTTATTTGAATTAGTTTTATTCTCTGTTTCATAAATGAGAAAATGGAAAAGTAAAGTGAACTGCCCAAGATCATACAGTCACTTCATGGCAGACTAAAGCCTTTATCTCAGGCAGTTGGGATCCAAAACCCATCTTCTTACTACACAGTGTCCTAAGCATGAATCATGCTTGTATTTCCTACTGGAAACAAAATGATCAATGGAAAACACAAAGGATAATTTCTTCCTTCTTTGTAGTACGGTAGCATCTTATGCAAAGGTACCAACATAAACTTACTAGAAGTGTAAATACACAACCTTCCTTTTACAAGATTCAAATTTGAGGTTTCTACACTTCAATAATTTCTCACATACTGCCTCACGCAGCAGTCACTCAATATTAAATATGAAACTGCTTTAGTTTTGAAACTTAAAGCAAAAATGTACTAGAAATACACTTCTAAGAAAATGTCCTACCTATTTCTGTTCTGCCAAGTCCAATTCCATTATAAATTCTCAAGTAATTAAAATGACAAGAATCATAATCTTCAATGTCAACATCACCCAATTTGACCCGAATTCGTTCTCCCATCTTGACATGGATCTCCCATTTGCAAACGGTACTGCTGGGATAGGTCGGCGGGTAGTTTATAGATGCAAGAGTTGCACTTTCAGGGCCTCGTACAGTGTGTCCACATCCATCACCTTAAAAAAAATGGGGTGATAAACTGTTTTTTCGTTTTAAACTTCTGAGTAATCAAGATTTTTAATGGTGATTTAAAAATACACATGACCTCAGATATTTATACCACCAGTATATCTTTACAGGAAATAAAATGACATAGCTCTTAGCATATCTAGTCACAATCGCCAAGAAAAATCAAGTCAGGTTCAAATAATGATTACTTATATAATTTATAATGTCAAAGACCTTTACAATCTGAACATATCTTAAAACCCATCTTAGCAAAGAGTTACAAATACATAAATATATCAAAATGGCCTAATATTTAAAACAATACCAATTTAAACTATTTAAGATAACTAATATAAAAATGTGAGCAGCTTCACTTTTTAACAATCATAAGCTCCTAAAATCTCCTGTGAAGCAAGATTATTTCTTAATAACAGTTAACATACGATAAAAAATTATGCAAACTATTGATCCTATTATAGATTACAAATGATTTCTCTTGAAAGTAGTTGATTTTGAAGTTTAAGTTTATATTCTATTTAAATTTGACTATTTTGTTGTTCATTCTCCATTTTCTTCCTATAGAACAGAGAAAATAATTAAAAGTTTAATACTTTTAAAGTTTATAGCTTATTAAACTTTTAAAGTTTAATACTTTTAAAGTTTATAGCTTATTAAAGATAAAGAAAAAATTACTTTTATATGTTGGTTCTGACATTTGCTTCATTTATTTTTCAGCAAGTAAATACAAGAACTTAGATAACCAGCTTATTGTTTGTAAAAATGAAATATCTGCATCCCTCATTTTATTCACTCAGTATGCAGGAGGCATTGATTATATGTTCATTTACAAGTTTCGGCTGTTGCTACAACTGTATTATTTAGCATTCATTAACAACATGATTCAAATGAATGACATCCTTTTAATAGGATGATTAATGTATGACGATGGGATTCAAATGAATCCCTTTCTAACAGGATAGCAAATACATACTTTTAAAATAGAAGCATTTTCTTCCTTACAAGTTATTTATGATCATGTCATTGGAATAGTACAGTATTTACACAAAAACTGTATTAAATGTGATGCTGCTGAGTTTTAACCTCATTATGAACACAACTCTAAGAGAATTTTCTTGATTTATTACTTTTAAAAGTAATCACATCACTTATTAGAACAGATTAATTTTTAAAACTATACACATAAAAATTTTAACAAAAATTATATACCTAAAATTATATGCATAAAAATTATACACATAAAAATTTTACATAGTATCTAGTAAGTAGCAGATAGTAAATATTAATAGTATGAATAAGGAAATGTTATGAAAAATTAATTCCAAACTAGTCCCAACTTTAATGAAGAAACAAATCATGTAACTCTTATGGTAATACTTAGAAGTCATATCCTTTACTGACAAAGAATTTTTACCTTTGAGTTTGTATTAATATTCATCCCTGGTCTTTTTTTTTTAATCAAGAATCGAACTCAAGACCTTGTGCTTGACAGGCAAGCACTTATACTGCTGAGCTGTATCTCCAGCCACTCTCCTGGCCTACTTTTAAAGAGCAATACTAAATATATGTGTGCTTGCTAGAAGTGTTATAATCTTTAAAATCCACTGGATAAATGAAATAACTCAAAATATTAGTGTGTTTTCTTTAGTAAACAAAAGCTAAGGCCGCTTTTAGAGTAACTGAAATGTTTATCCATAACTTTGCAACAGCAGATTGTTTAATGTATCCCCCATAGCCATTAGTCAACCCAAGGTCATTTTAAAATGTGCTTTATGAAACAACACAAGTAGAGTGGTTAGAGTAATTTTAGATGCCTTTATGCTTCTGTGTGATCTTGAATAAATACAATGTTACTTGTCCTTTACACCATAAAGCATAAATTCTATATAAGTTAATAAACTGATAAAAACGGATCTTTTGCATACATGGTGATAAAAAACAATTAAAACAGAGCTGTCTTTCTTTAAGAATCTGTGTGGGGGGTGGAGGGCAGGAAGAGTCCACAAGAAATGTGCCAAGAATGTTCTAAAATACGTGATAGAGTTCAGAGCTTCCTCGTCTTGCAAGCAAGATGATAAGAACTAAAAATCAAAGTTAAAAGTCAAGTATCTTGTCTACTGCTCTGGCCAAGTCTGAATACCCCCTATTTCAAAGAATACAGTATTTATTAAGTTCAACCTGACTAGATAAATAGCATAACTGTCACCTACTGATATGGAGTAAATACTTAGAATAATGTGGTTCAAAAGAGAAGGTTGTGCTTTCACTAGACCAGCTGCTTTGAATGTCTGTTATTCTGGAGAAATACATTTTATATTGTGACCCTGTAGATTTCCACATGCTTATTCTTGACCCACTAATGACCTCCCACCTAGTCTGAAAAATACAACTCACAACTCACAACTGAAAAATACAAAACTCACAACTCAAAGGCCAGAACATTAAATTCTCACATTAAGGAAAGACTTTGTCCTTTCACTTCTAAAGTAGCAATATGTTCCCAGGTTATTTTTTTACAGTTATTGTACCAAAATTCTTCAAATATGACAAAATATTTAAAACTAAAAGCTGGAAAATATTCATCAATAATAACACACAGCAGTGTTTCTCAAACAGGAGGTGGAGATCCCACAGGAGGGATTCTACCACTCACTTGGCAGTATCTAGAGACATTCTTAGTTGTCACAAATAGGGGGAGGCATGTTGCTGACACCTCATTGGAAAGGGTAAGAAGTTGCTAAAATATCTCAGTGAAGGAATAGTCTCCAGAACAAAGAATAATGGGACCTGCATGTAAATAGTGCTGAGTTTGGGAAGTGCTAACTTAGAGTCAAGGTTAGGAAATCTCAGGCTGAAAATCTGGTTTAGTTCTTGGCTCAGTCTTATTTGGCCTAAAGGGTAATGCTCTTCTACTCCCTAAGGATCAATGGAGAGAAAAGTTTTCTCCCAAACATCAGCAGTTATGGAAAAGTTTTGTGCTCACACTTCCCAATTTTAAAATAAGTAAATAGAACACTTCATTATTCTTCAAGTTAAAAAAGAAAAATAATCCTATTAGTCTTCAAATTTCAAATGATTTTCTCCCAGCATCAAGAGCTTTTTTTTTTTTGTATTTTAAAGAGGGTAAAATTAAACAGAACAAAACATCATAAGAAAACAATTAAGAAACACAGTCTTCAAGGCAAGACCACCAGAGATCTTCACTATCATATTGTCTCTTCGTTTCTTCCTAATAGTTGTCCATATCTTCACACACAGTGAATTCATACTGAACAAAACAGTACTAAACTGATCAGAACAGGATGATGAAGGCATTTTAGGTCTTCAAGACCAGACAATAGGGAGGTCAAAAATGGCTGCCATAATGTCTCTCGTTCTTTTCAAAATAGCTGTCCATATCTTTACATATGTTGAAATTAAACAAAAGAAAACAGACTAACACCACTCTAGACAGACAATAATAGTATTGCCAGATTTTGTATCATGACACCATGGAATTAGCACTGGGTATCTTAGTGTCTCATTTTCTTCAGAGTATCTGTTCATTACAACATACATTATAGAATCTATTCTTGTAAACTGTTTGAAGTTCTACACATGCATGAATCTCTACACATATACCTATTCTTTCCAAACAAGATAGCAACACAAATTCCCAGAAAAACATGAAATGATAAAGACATATAAAACCTCAATACTAGGTGATCTATAGTAGTTACTATGATGTCTCTTGTTATTTTCAATAGAATTGTCTATATCATCAGGCATAATATAATTGAACAGCACTACCTAGCAATGTTAATAAAAACAAAACATTGGAAACATTATAGGACTTCAAAAGCAGTTAATAATCAAACCAGAATGGGTATCCTATTACATCTTCTCATCTTCAGAGTAATTGCTCTGTTCTTAGACTTAATACTATCAAGCATACCAAATTCAAATAAAATCAGTCAAGACAAAACAGCGATCTAACAAACCAGATTCAAATAAGATCAGTCATAGTAAGACATCGTAGAAGTAATGCAGGGCTTCAAGTTAAGTTAACAGGAAATTAACGATAGTTACCGTAGTATATCCTATTGTTTTGGGATAGCTGTCTGTGTCCTCAAATCTAGTATGAGTAGATAGACTGGAACAGAATAAAATCCAATTAAACAGAGTGATAAGATTAATGTGGCTTTTAAATCCTGATAAACTATTAAAAATGTCCTCTGCCTTCCTTTTTTAGACAATGCATCAAGAGTTTTTAACATAGGGAGAAAAGGGTATCAATAGGATCTGAAAAATTGATTAGTGTTCGGTGCTTGGAAGAATAATCGTCTGTGACAAGGACACACTACCTCCTTTTACTTACCATATTAAGGTAAGAAGCGACAAAGAATTATTACAAGTGGGAAATAACTTCCAAAATAGATGTCAAAGGTCTAGTTCTTATTCTCCCCAACCACCCCAACATGCCATCTCCTTTCCCAACCACATCTTAACCACCATCCCTGTCAACTAATCTACCTTCTGTTCCTCCATTACATGGATTCCACTCGAGTATAACTAATCATAAACCATAGAAAGCTCTTGCTGTAATTTTTGAATTGTACTTTTATTCAGTGTAGAAAAACAGAAAAAAACCACTGAAAGTTGATCTTAGTGCTCTTTGGTTCAGATGCAGATTTACCTAGGGGATTACTCATAGAACACATGTTCACTTCCCTTGAACAGTGTAAGGTTCAGATGTGTTAAGCCACATATGAATTTGGATACTTTTCTGGGAAAAAAATGCAATGATCTTTAAAACTACTTATCCCTAGAGAAAACAGAAAGAACATTACATACATTCAAATGCCAATCAAATAATACAACATGAAATGCAAACCTACTGTATTCTAGCTAAATTCCAGATTAAGTATTTTTAGGATAATGTTCTGATGATGATTACATGTGCCCCTCTTGCCACATTCATATTTTAGTAATATTATTACTAAGAAAGATGTATTACAGATTTTTAATCATATGAACTCTGTGAGGGGCAAAAATACTTCCTTTCACAGCAGCCAACACAAATGCAGGAAGCTTATAAAAGTATGTCGAAAAAGAAGAGCAATGTATCTTTCATCATAATTGCAGAGAGCCTGAATCTTGTTTTTATCACTGTGGCCTACTGAGGCTGCCAGTATCCTCTAAGTACTATTTCTGGATCTTGTAACACATCTGTGAGATCCTACAATAAAATGAAAAACAAGGTGAAATATTTAGGAATAAAAGTTCAAAAACATGAAGCTGCAACTGTTAACTACTACATGCAATTTCACTGGATACAGTGACGTTTTTGGTATATTATCTACCGCTGTGAATAATAAGGCAGAAGTTCTTTAACTGTGAGGTTTCTTAATTTGTGTTACTGCATATCTCAAACACGTAATCAAACTAGTACTTTAATTTCACTTAATGTCCCCTTTGTCAGTTTTAATTTTCCTTTTTCTGAAGTTAATTTTATCTGAAATTAAAATGCAGTTGTTCTAGTTTACTTCACATTAGCAGTCACATGGCACATCATTCTCTAGCCCTGTTATTTTTTGTTGTGGTAGTAGTGATAAAATATACAACCCAGAAATTTTATTTTTTAAAATAGATTTTACATTTTTTAAATTTTATTTCAAAGAAGATAAAATTGAACAGAACAAAACAGAACAAAGCAGATCAGAAGAACACAATGTAAGACACACAGATTTTAAAGCAAGACAACAGGAAATCATCAATGTCTATCTTACTGTCTCTTGTTTTCTTCTGAATAGTTGTCCATATCTTCACACACAATGAACTCATACAAAACAAAATAGTATTAAACTGATCAGAACAGGATGATGAAGGCATTTTAGGCCTTCAAAACCAGATAATAGGGAAATCAACAATGGCTGCCATACTGTCTCTCATTCTCTTCAAAATAGCTGTCCATACCGTCATGTATGTTGAAATTGAACAATACAAAACAGACTGAAACCACTCTGAACAAAGAATAATAGTATTGCTGGATTTCACAGCAGGGCACTATGGAATCAGCACCGGGTACCTTAGTGTCTCTTTTTCTTCAAAGCAGCTGTTTATTTCACCAGGCATTATATAATCGATTCCCATAACTCTTTAGGAGAAGTAGTACGCATGTATGAGTCTCTACACTTATACCTATTCTTTTCTGTATTAGAGGGGAAAACAAAACAAATTCCTAGAAAAACACAAAACAAAAATTAACAATAGCAAAGAGGCCAAAACACTGATAATCTAAACCTTCAAAACAAGGTAGTAGGAGCATAACTGAGGTTGTTGATTTACATAATGTTAAGGGTTCCTCAGATCACCATACAATAACACGCAATACTGTTTCATTCCTAGGAATGTTAACTATTTTGTTCCAATAACTTATACAATTTGCAGCACAATCATCTTAGCTATACTGTGTGTTTATATAATTATATTTTTTTCTTTTTCCTCACTTTCCCTGAGATATTATTTTCCCCCTTTAAGTAGATTCTTATCCTTTCACTGTATTTATTGAGTTTTTTGTATCTTATGTACTTTTCCCATTTTTTGCACTAGGGAGACGATATGGTATATACAGATGTGAGTTTGATTTATTTCACTTATGAGTTTGGTCTCTAGTTGTATTCACTTACTTATAAGTATCTCAATGTGATCATTCTTTATAGCTGAGTAGTACTAGATTGAATAAAAAAACAACACAGTTTTTATCCATTCCTCAGCTGATGGGCATTTAGGTTGTTTCCAAGATCTGGCTATTACAAACTATGCTCCTATAAACATAGATGCACATATAACACTGTGGTATGTTGTTTTCAGTTCTTCTGGGAATATGCCCAGAAGTGGGATAGCTGGGTCAAATGGGATTTCCAATCCCAGCCTTTTGAGGAATCTCCAGACTGAACTCCACAGTGCTTGCACTAGTCTACACTCCCATCAACAGTGCAGAAGAGTTCCTTTTTCCCAGTAGCCTCTCCAGCATTTGTTGTTGGAGTTTTCTTTATCCTGGCCATCCTTCATGGAGTGAGATGGAACCTCAGTGTTGTTTAATTTGCATTTCTCTGATGACCAATGATGCTGAGCATTTTTTCATGTATTTATTTGCCATTTGTTATTTCTTCATCTGAGCACTGTGTGTTCATTTCAGATGCCTATTTTTGGAACAGGTCTTTGAATTTTGAGAACCGGATTTTTTTTAAAATTATTTGTACATTCTAGACAGAAGTCCTTTGTCTGAGAGACAGTTTACTAAGATTTTTTTCCAATTTGTGGGAGTTTTTTTTTTCACTATGCTGGAGATTTCTTTCGACATGCAAAAACTCTTTAATAAGGGGCTGGGGATTTGGCTCAGCGGCATAAACACCTTCTTGCAAGCACGTGGTCGTGAAATCGATCCCCAGTACCAATAAAAAAAAAAAGGAAAGACAAAGACAAAATAAAACCTCTTTAATAGGATGTGATCCCAGTTATTGATTCTATGAAGTATTTCGTGTGTGGTTTGATTCTTGTGGTTGAGTTTGTTTGTAGTTGTATCTTTTAATCTACTTACTCCATTGATCTTCAGGTCTGTTTTTATTCTAGTACCATGCAGATTTTATTACAGCAGCTTTGTAATAACTTCAACTCAGGGATTATGACTACATGCGCCCAAGCCTCCTACCTTGTCTCTGTTGCTTAGAATTGCCTTTGCTATTCTAGGTCTCTTCTGGTTCCAGATGAATTTTAGGAATGATTCCTCTTGATCTGTGAGGTATGCTAGTGGTATCTTAATTAGGATTGCATTAAATTTGTATAACAATTTTGGGAGAATGGCCATTTTCATAATGTTTATTCTTCCTATCCATGAACAAGGGATGTCTTTCCATTTTCTGAGGTCTTCTTCCATTTCTTTTCTCAGGGTGTTACAATTTTCCCTGAATAGATCTTTTACTTCTTTTGTTAGATTGATTCGTAAGTATTTCACATTTGTGGATGCTATTGTGAAGGATATGGCTTCTCTTATTTCTCTCTCAATGATTTCTGTTGTTAGTGTATAGGAATGCTATTGCTTTTTGAGTATTGACTTTGTATCCAGCTGCATTGCTGAATGTATTTATTATACCTAGGAGTCTTTCAATGGGGCTTTGGGGGGGGGTCCTCTATGTAGAGTATCATGTCATCTACAAATAATGGTAATTTAACTGCGCCTTGTCCTATCCTTTTTCCTTTTCTCTCTCTTGTCCAATTGCTCTGGCTAGTATTTCCAGCACTGTGTTGAACAGGAGTGGTGATAATGAACATTCATGGCTTGTTCTCAATTTTAAGGTAAAGGTTTTCAGCTTTTGGCCACTTAATATGATGTTGGCTGTTGGCTATGTCATAGATGGCTAAATATACATAATGACATGCATTCATCTTATAGTATTATACAGAGGAGTTTCACTGCCCTAAGTATCCCAGGATCTACCTGTATAAACCCCCCACCATGAAGATTTTTTAATTTATTTTTTCTTTTTTTTTTCCATCTACAGTTCTCCTTTGTCCAGAATTTGAGAAAGAACTTGCTACATAGTCAGACTAACCTTGAACTCACTATGCAACTTAGGATGGCCTCAAACTCACAATGATTCTCCTGCCTCTGTTTCCCAAGTGCTGAGATTACATGTGTGTACCATCACACCTGTCTCATTTTTTAAGGGCTTGTTTGCTCCTTTCTTTTACTTATTTTTGCTCAGGGTATAAGCTAGACATGTATTCAGAGTCAAAAAGTCAATGTAGCAACTTTTAGGCAAGTAAATTTGCTCCTATCTTCCATGTTTTTTAAGCCAAAATTCACCTCTGTACATGCAGTAATTCATAAAATTTAATAACAGGAAGGAAAGCAATATATAAATCCTCAACCCTTACCAAGCACACACACCACCTATCTAGCTCATAATGGTTAAACAAAGTGGAGTCATACAACAAACTGAAATGCCCTATTTGCCACTATGACCCTGAGAAGGCTTTCTATCCCTGCTAAGTCTGGATTTTGCCATCTGTAAAACTGAGACACTAACAATTCAAACTTTAAACAGTAAGAATTAAACAAAATACTATATGAAAACAACTGATAGCAAG